GACCCTCCCCAACTCCACCCCTTCGGCCTCCTCCCCTTTCCCACCCGCGGGCAGCTCCGGGTCTATAAAGAGAGGCGTCCGAGACGCGCAGGGAGATTTGGACGCTCCGGCCTGGGAGGTGCGTCAGATCCGAGCTCGCCATCCAGTTTCCTTTCCACTAGCCCCCAGTGGGAGATCTGTAAGTAGTAGTTGTCCTTCTGGGGGCAGATTGCAGGGGGGTGGGGGTGTTAAAAGTCCTATAGGGTATTCTATAGGGGCTGGGTTGCACTTAGGGGTCCCTGTTGTCAACCTCGTAAGGACCATGGTGGGGGTAGAGTTGTGATTTGGATGTCTCTCTGCCCTATCATCCTAGATTATCCTAGACTTTCCCCAAACAGCATTTCTCAAGGTTGCCAGTGAGAAGTACTATTTTGGGAGTGCTTATTAACGATATCAATGCCTGGACCCAACTGCATTTCCCAACTCTAGAATCCCCAGAAAAAACGGCCTTAAAAAAGAAAATCAGTCCTGGGTGATTCTTGTTAAGAGGCTAATCCAGGAGATATACTCCCTTGGAAATCTCAGAGGTTCAGTGCAGACAGTCAGGCATCTCACTTTTATTCTAGGCACCAAAAAAACACAGCTCAACTTCACTGAAAAGTCACTTGCTATCACACAGACAGGCAAGGTGAGGCTCCTAGTGGATTTGACGGTATTGCACAGTTGTGTTGATAATGCATTAAATCAGTTAAAAACACATGGGCATAGGCTTAGCAGAAAGGAAAGTGTTTTTATCAGTTCTATCAGGTACTATGTCGAGAACCCCTGGGAGATAAGGCTGGTTGTGATCTAGTTTATTACAGCCCACTTTTTCATCTTCTCCAAATTAAAAAAAAAAAAAATCTCACCCAGGTTGACCCCCCAAGGGCCCCCAGATACCCAGGTGGGCTCCAAAGTCTCCATTTGCTTCCACAATCTGCAGGTGCATTAGGTAAGATTATACCGGAATTTCCCGCAGAGTCACCTGTGTCAATGCCTCTCTAGTGTCCAACCAAATGGGTAAAACGAAAGAAAGTGTGGCTACTGTCTGTTGTAGGTTTTCTTCCAGCACAGGGTCTGGTAGGGATTTTGCCACTTGAGAAAAAGTACCATTCAAACCATGCTTGTCCAGAAGTAAAAGAAAACATTTAGAAACCCAAGGCCGGGAGGGTTTAGTTGCAGTATGAAGAACTGAGAGATTAAATTGTGAACTGTCCGGCATTTGATGAAAAGAAGGCAGGCTGTTAGTAAACTGCTTTGTGTAGTTTTTTGTTTGATTTACTTCACGATACTATTTTAGAATTATTGAGAGAGGCAACTTGACGCTGAACTGAAAGTCATTAGATGGCAGGATGTGAAATAAGATAGGGAATTTTGTTGGAAGGAAATTGATGTTTTCCCATTGAGATAGCTACTGTTGATGGAACACTTAAGTGCCACACGCTGTTGCAACATTTAACTTATCTCATTTAATCTTTGCAACAACTTCACAAGAAAGGCATTATGATGTCTGTTTAGTATACAAGGCAGCTGAGGCTCAGAGAGGTAAAGTGTCACACAGCCATCAAGTGGTAGAACCCATTCCCGGATCTGTTTGAGTCCAAGTTCATACCCTTGACCCCACTATCTTCTTTACCATGGACTCAAACTTGTTGGGGTCAGGTTTCTGGTGGGACTAAATGCTTCCAACAAAGTAAATGTTTATCACCATGTCTTTTGAAGAAAACATAAACTGACTTTTTGCACATTTTAAATAAAAGGCACTGTTTGTCCCCTGGTTGTGGGGGCGGGAAGTGATCTAGTTGAAACCAGTGACCCTACGTGGGCTGCCACCCCTAGAGTCCAGAATGTGAACTAGTTGGGCCTTTTTCGAGAAGCCGCCGGGCTTGCCCTGTAAACACCATGTATTTTTATTATCATGTCCAAAATAGATGTGTTATTCCGTACAAGGTATTTGTTATGGATTTGTTATCATTACTTTTCCGTGGGAGGGCTGAGATTGAGGCAAACATGCCCATTTATGGAAGCGTTTTCCATGAGGCCATCCCCAGCCCCCTCGTCAGTTACCCAGCCTTGCACTACGGCCCGGTTGGTCCCGGCCCTGGGGATTTCTCTACTGTATCCCTCACCCATTGAAGAACTGGTGGAGAAGCCCTAAGGAGAAGAGATTTGGGAGAAAAGTGGGATTCTTTTTCCCTAACCCTCTTATTCAGAAGTTGGATTTTTTTGGGGTGGGGGATGGGAGGGAATTGTCTCCTTTCCACAGGGCTTGAATCGAAACAGGTGGGTTTTAGGATTTAGGCACAAGGTTGTAATTCCAAGAGTAGATATATAGTAGATTTTTCTTGAAAACCAAGTTCAATTTTCAATCCAGTAGAATCATAGAAGGTCATAAACAAATTTAGAAATCATCTCCAGCACCTCCCAAAACCTCACTTTCTCATCTGGGCAATGGGGTAATGAGAATAACTCATGTTTCTTGGGTACTTTTGCCTGGTGAGATGCTAAGCCCTTTGTGGACATTATCTTAAGTCTTCATAACAACCCTTTAGAGTAGATACTGTTATTATAACGGGCTTGATTTTACAAATATGGCATCTGAATAACTTGCTCAAGACAGCTAGTCAGTAAGGAAAACAAGATTCTACAAATCTAGGTCTTTCTAACTCCAGAGTTTAACAGATTACCCTCATGGGAGGATTTGATGAGCTAATGTGTATGAAGGGCTTAGCACAGTGCCTAGGCCCTGGGAAACTTTGGTAGATGGTTATTTATAGCAAACACAACCAGAGTTCAAGATGTTTGCTCAGTATGGCATGGCTCATCTTTGGCAGAACTGGGAAGCCTAAATTATGTGGCCGTTAAAGGAGAAGCTTTTCTTAATGTTTCTTCCCTTTGATCTCATCAACCCCATTTCTATTGGGCTGAAAGTGATGATTAGAATCTTTAATATGTTTAGCTACCATTCCTTTGCTGGATTGGGAATGTTACAAACTCCAATAACATTTGTTTAGGGTTTTGTTTGTTTTTGAGACAGAGTCTTGATCTGTCACCCAGGCTGGAGTGCACTGGTGCGATCTTGGCTCGTTGCAACCTCCACCTACTGTGTTCAAACACTTCTCCGGCCTCAGCCTCCTGAGTAGAGAGTAGCTGGGATTATAGGCGCCCACCACCATGCCTGGCTAATTTTTGTATTTTTAGTAGAGATGGGATTTCACCACACTGGCCAGGCTGGTCTCGAACTGCTGACCTCAAGTGATTCGGCTGGCTTGATCTCCCAAAGTGCTCGGATTATAGGCGTGAGTCACCGTGCCTGGCGTATTTAGGGTCTTGATGGCATACTTTAAGGGATGGCCTTTTTGCTCTCTATGTCTTCTTCCTCCACCCCTCACCTTTCAACATTTAACCCTGGCCACACAATGGAGGAAAGATTGAGTTTAGAAAAAGCCAGGCAAGAATTTGAAAGAAACCTTGCGTGTGATCCAAGGACAGAGGAAGAAGCTGTTCACAGCGGCTGAAAGGGGAGGTTGGACATCTGTGACTTGTATCAGGGTTTCAGGGGCTAGGGAGGAAAAACCGCATCTAAGTTGTGAGGAAAGGGCCATAGAGGCCAGGTGTGGCAGCTCAGACCTGTAATCCCAGCAATTTGGGAGGCTGAGGTGGGGGGATGGCTTGAAGTCAGGAGTTTGAGACCAGACTGGGCAACAAAGCAAGGCACCATCTCTACAAACAAATTTTGAAAATGAGCTGGGCGTAGTGGCATGCATCTGTGGTCCTAGTTATTCAGGAGGCTGAGGTAGGAGGATTGCTTGAGCCCAGGAGTTCAAGGCTGCAGTGGGCCATGATTGCATCACTGCTCTCCAGCCTGGGAAACAGAATGAGACTCTGTCTCAAAAAAAAGATGCAGGGCATAGCACTTTACTGTACCAGGCTGAAAACTACAAGGCCCAGAGAGGGCAAGTGACTTGCCTAGCGTCACCCAGCGAGTTTTAGGCAGAGCTGAGACTTGTAACTCGAAGTCCTAAGGTCTTCCACAGGCTAACGAATAGCTTGTTTGTGCTCAAAGGATGAAGCAGTGAGTTGTTAGGACAGGACTGTGAACAGGGCTGACGCATTCAGATGTGTTAAACATCGCTAATGCCATCTCTGAGTAAATTAGGCTTCAAACAGATCTGGATTCTAATCCTGGCTCCAACTTTTACAAGGGAGGGCCTTGTATTTACCTTTCAGGACCTTGATAGTCTTAGCAGGAAAATGGGAATAATAGATAATGCCACTCTTTCAGCCTTGGACTTTTTGTCTAATTATGTGAATTTACCTGTAGGATAAATTCCCAGACATGCCATTGCTCAGTTAAAGGGCATGCATATCTAAAATTAATAGATACTGCAAATGACCAGCTAAAGACATTGCAGACTGGGCACAGTGGCTCACGCTGTAATCCCAGCACTTTGGGAGGCCGAGGCAGGTGGATCACCTGAGGTCAGGAGTTCGAGACCAGCCTGGCCAACATGGTCTCTGCTAAACCCCATCTCTACTAAAAATACAAAAATTAGCTGGGTGTGGTGGTGTGCACCTGTAATCCCAGCTACTCAGGAGGCTGAGGCATGAGAATCGCTTGAGCCTCGGAGGCAGAGGTTGCAGTGAGCTGAGATCACACCACTGCACTCCAGCCTGGGCAACAGAGTGAGAGTCAGTCTCAAAAAAAAAAAAAAAAGTATTGCAAATTGCAACTTGTTGCAGTCACATATGACAGGAGTCCCCAACCTCTTGGCACCAGAGACTGGTTTTGTGGAAGACAATTTTTTCCAGGGACCTGGGATGGAGTGGGGGTGGGGAGGATGGTTTTGGGATAAAACTGTCCCACCTAAGATCATCAGGCATTGGTTAGATTCTCATAAGGAACACACAACCTAGATCCCTTGTATGTGCAGTTCACAATAGGGTTCACGTTCCTGTGAGAATCTAATGCTGCTTATCTGAAGGAGGCGGAGCTTAGGCAGTGATGCTCACTCACCCACTGCCCAGTCCTGCTATGTGGCCTGGTTCCTGACAGGCCATGGACTGGTACTGCAGCACAAGGGTTGGGGACCCCTGACATTGGAGGCTACACATTTATTTTAATCTGTGGTATGCCAGAATTGTAAAATAAAAACACAG